TAACCTCTAGTAATGTATTGTTAATATTGTAGTCATTAACCTCTAGTAATGTATTGTTAATATTGTAGTCATTAGCCTCTAGTAATATATTGTTAATATTGTAGTCATTAGCCTCTAGTAATATATTGTTAATATTGTAGTCATTAGCCTCTAGTAATATATTGTTAACACTGTAGTCATTAGCCTCTAGTAATATATTGTTAATATTGTAGTCATTAACCTCTAGTAATGTATTGTTAACACTGTGGTCGTTTGGTTTTAGTAATGAATTGTTAACACTGTGGTCGTTTGGTTTTAGTAATGAATTGTTAACACTGTAGTCATTAGCCTCTAGTAATATATTGTTAACACTGTGGTCATTAGCCTCTAGTAATATATTGTTAACACTGTAGTCATTAGCCTCTAGTAATATATTGTTAACACTGTGGTCGTTTGGTTTTAGTAATGAATTGTTAAAATTGTTGTCGTCGTGCCTTATTAATAGTATTATAACAAAAAGTGTGAACAGCGGTAGAAACGTGATAACGGTTTTTATTTTCTCCAGAAACTATGTAAAGTGGTCACTATACGTCACAGGTAAGTGTCATTCTGCATACAAAGAAAAAAAAAAGTCCAAATTTACGTCTTGCAAGTTGGTTGACCTAAAATTTGAGCACGAATTTCACGGAGTATTTCCGATACTAACTTTGATATTCAAATGTCAGTTGCGTCTAAATGGCGTAAGGACTTTGTTTTGCTGGGTGGCTCTAATTGAAGAGCATGGATACGTACCACCATGCAAGTATTTCTTTGTTTTGTAGTGTAAAGATACACGACGGGCTACCTGCACCTTGCCCACCGAGGGTATCACGCCCCCAAATTTTAGCGTGATAAGTACCCAAGTTTAAATTTAATCACAAATGAAAATAGTATACTTTTGGTGACTACACAAAGAAAAATGGAAACACCTGTTAACATTATGAGTAGACTTAAAAACATCAGTATACAACTGCTTGAAGGTAATTCACTGATTTATATACGCATGTCACTACTACCAAACAAAGAGTTCCCATATCACAATCACTCTGTACCTGTTTCAGTGTTTACAACGTGCACGATCTATAACGTCTACCGAAAATTTGTTTCATCTCAGATCTTCACGTTAAATATTCACATTCCCCCCCCCCAAAAAAAACACTCTTAATAATAATAATAACACAAATCCAAAAATATACGACTAACAATTAAAATATCATAATTTCCAAAATATCCGACTTATTCTTTAAAATGTTTAACAGTTAATAGTATTTCTGCTATGTTTACTTTAGTTGTAAGAGAAACAATACTGCACCAAATTATTGATTTCTGGATGAAATTCAAATTTCGTGGTTAAGATTAGCATAACACTCACCAAAATACGAACGCCATTTCTATGGAAATTCACTAATCTGTTGAAAACGCTGTACAAGCTTCTTATTCTTTACTGGTCTCGTTATGAATGACGCTTTCTAGCACGAGCCAGGATCAGAGTTTTCGAGCTCTATGCGCGAATAACTCACTCGCGAAGACGCATCAACTCGGCGCGCAAGGAAGCTGATACACGTACGTTGTGGGTGACTGCATAACGTTCCACGAGCTGAAAGATTTACCTGTTCAACCACTTGAAGTTTACCGCATCAATTAAACAATATTTATACTAAAAAAATGATCAGATAAATGTTATAAAGCTGAAAATCGGAGTTTTAAACGAAGCTACTTGTACGAATACGAGTCATTTCCAAAAAGCGTTTAGATCTGTCACACCTTGCTGTTTCTTTCTGCTCTGACAAAGTCATTACCACAGTATTGGTCTCGTGATGATAAAAACCAGGCCTTCCTTATGACGTAAGCTTTCAAACGACACGCTCGTGAAAGTCACTCTGAATAGATATCATGTACAAAAATTAACCGACTCGGTGCGGCCTCACGGAAAAGGCGTGTATTTATTTAGTACATGTGTTTCTATGGCTGAAAATAAAAAAACGGAACTATGGAAAATTGAGTATCCCAGAATGCTGCGTAAGATCGAATGATGACGTCAAAAGATCTTTGTAACCGTCACATTTCGTTCTTTCCTTTTACAGAATATCAGTATTTGTATCTTATATTTGTTGTTTATCTTTTTTATCTTACCCCAATGACTCAGGGGTAAGTCTTCGATATCCGCCCATTGTGTAAATTTACACATAACAACAAAACAGACTACCGTCGAGATTCAAATGCTGTATTATATTCGGTGATTTTATGTTTTTGCCTGTTAGAATACTCGGTGCAAATAAATGACCGAACTACCCCTCAGTTTATATGTAAAACACATGAGAAACCCCACTGTTACGTATCTACTCGTTTGTTAATTTCCGGTATAAATTCTTTCCGAGGAACTTCAGCGATACAGGTTCTTTCTTAATTAAAATTAGTTTATTCTTCCTCGATACAACTTTGTAATACACAGAATTTCCAATAAGTACGTTAAACTTAACTACTTTTATAACACACGCTATAAATCACAGTGATTCACACACTTTACTTACGGTGCCTATTGTTCGCTTAACTCAATTATCTATCTCTTCAATCTATCTATCTATTCAATCGCGCTGGTTTTTTCTCGCCAGGCTTATATACTAAAAAAAGGGGCGCCTCGAACAAACTAGAGTTGCCAGGAAAATTCATGATCCTTCGAGAAACTCCAGCGCGCATGATCCCACCGTCGCGTGATTTCCGCTGTCGTAACACCAGCATTATCAGTGACAGTATTAGAGGTAATTTTTATTTTGTTGTGTCATTCATACGCTATCACACAACAAATCGTGGTCCAACTAGCAATTTAGTGGAAACATAGTTTAGGATTTTTCTTATATATATATATATATACAGTCGATTGACCCTGACTTCAAGTTTACTAAAGTGGTGGTATTATACGAAAGGCCTCGTCGGCAATGGGTACAACAGATATAGTTTGATTGATATATTATTGCATTCATCTTTACTTTCACTTTAACATTTTTGTAGTTACGAATGTGGTATTCTTCCGTTTATGTCAACTGACCTGCTCTGGGGTCAAACAGACTAGCTTACTAACCCGTTAGTTCTGAATGATGAGTGAAATTAATTCAAGTAGAATAAATAAACTAGATGTACTTCCGAAAAGTGTTCTGTTTCAAGAGAAAATAAAACCAAAATTAAGAGTAACAAGTACTTTTATACCTTGCTTTTCAAGTTCATATGTCATGCTGTGTTGTAGCCTACAGAGTGCATAATTCTTCTCGTGATTCATGGTATGCGCACGCTTTACTGACGTCACTACACTACAAATTGCAACGTTAAGCGTCCCTTATGTGACATCATTTTAGTGTCTACTGACTGACAGACGACACACTACTGTATAATGGTGCGAGTGGTAAAACAGGTGACCCGCACCATGCGGCCTTCGGTCCCCTTTCGGTGCTAAAAATAAATAAATAATGAAAATCATAAGCCTAACTGTGATGTCTTAATGAACTAATAAATACTACAGTTTACTAATCTCAAATTCAGTTCGTACCGAAAACTTTGTTGTTTAAGTAATTGATGATATAAATTATTAGTGATCTCGGTCACTAATATGTGTGTCCCAGCCGGACTCATGTGCCCTGTTGTTGTCGGCACTGGATATAGCAGATATAATTTGGTTGATGTATTATTACTTTCAATCATAACTTATTATTAGCTATCTTGTATAGGTTTGTCGGTTTTTAGCTCCCTTATTTTATTGTGCTTCGAACATAGTGATTAATGGCCTTTTTTTTATTATTCCTGTAAACTCCCAGTGAAGCATAGGGCCGCAACAACACCTCCCAACGGAAGTTGTTGTTGCAGTTTCTTGTAGCAGGTTGGTTTTTTACGGGGTGGAGTTGCTAGCCCCGCGGCCAACCCTTCTCCTTTCTCATCCTGGACTTGGGACCAGGCAAAGGCGGAGGTTGGCATGTTTGGTGTGACGGGGATTCGAACCCGCGATCCTCAGATTACGATTCGAGCGCCCTGACCACCTGGCCATGCCGGGCCTGATTAATGGACTAACAAGAGGAACTCCTCAACAGCCGCGACACTTGAAATTATTTTAGGCAGGATTAGAGTAAATTAATCTATGAGACCTTTTTTTTTTCATTTTTATTAGTTATATTTTTTGGGCGCCAGCAATACCAAGAGTGGGGTGCGCATATACCAGTTTCAATTTTATTACTCAGCAAGGGTCTCTACCAGCCTACCTTCAAATTGAAATTCTTTTAGGCAGGATTAGACTAATTTAATCTATGAGACCAGTCGAAAGGGGTTGAGTCCAAAACAGTAATTAGATCTCAAATCGGTCAAGAGATGACGGATCTATGAACTGAAAGTTCGTATTTGACAAACTCAGAGCCGTTCTATGAGCCGCAACTAACAACTTTGTGTACATTTTAAAGTTTCAACCTTTTATCATTAAGAGCTTTATGTAACGTGGGGAAAAAAATCTGACTTACAACGCTAAATTCAGGATACGATCCATGCGTTAGATACTCCACAGATTGTGATTAAAACAGACACTGTACCGAAGAGCCAGGCGTGTCTTAGTTGCTAGAGCGTCGACTACGAATTCGATGATCCAGGGTTCGCATCCGGTTGCTGCAAAAGGTTGCACCGCACTTTGAGACCTTACTTGTGTTGCATACGAGAGCGACAGTCAAATCCAGCTATTCGATCAGACAAAATAACCCAAGAGTTTAACGGTGGGTGTTGTTGACTAGTTTCCTTCTTCCTAGTCTATCAGTTCAAATCTAGGGGCGGCTGGCAGATAGCCCTTCTCTACCTTTGCGCGAATATCCGAAACAAACAACCAAAAATAAATAATGTACGAAAAATCACTAAATGATAATAATTTTAATAACCTTGCTTACTTTATTTTTATACATGTAAGACAGCAAATACGATAACATATTTAAAAAATGAATGGTATAACACTTTGGACGCCCTTGCAATGGAATTATTGTAACGTTGATGAATGAACTGTCAAAGAACGTGACCTCGTCTGTGCTGCCACCTATAGACGAGAATGCCTGTGATATCTCAAATTATTTTTTTCTTATTTTTAACATAAACAATAAATGCGGTAAATAACGCTCTAGGAATAGAATATTAATGTTTAAAGTATACTTTAATGACGGGTATTGAAACTACCAAAATGAAACTATCCAAAATGACCAGTTCAGTTTTCTACTAGAAAACTAGTGTGTCTTTCGTACACTACAGTTACAGCCTCGTGAGAAAAACAACATAAATTATATTTCTGTTACAATGTTTGTAACAACAACAACAACAAAAAAAAAAAAATGTGAAATAAAGTGGCCAGTGAAGTCCACATAAACTATAAATAATATCAGAACTGAAAACGATTTGGTTTCTTCGTTCTTGCAATAGATAATAAAAAACACGTGACCTGGAAGACATTTTCACGTGAGCTAACCACAATCCCTTTAAACTGTATACTTTACAATCTTTCGAAGTACCATCAGAGCTAATTTTCTTTCTTCTGTAATACATGGTTATGTTTTTCATGCTGCCATATTACATGCGATATATAACTTAGTAGCTTTACCATAAATACAAAATAAAAATACCAATATATTTGTCAACAGTGGAATTGATATAGTATTTGTAAGTATCTTCATTAAATGTTCACATCCTTACCGAAAACCGCCTGGAAGGATCACCTATTTTAACCATTATACAGTAGTGTGTTATCTGTCAGTCAGTCAGTCGACACTAAAACGACGTCACATAACGGACGTTTAACGTCAGTAAAACGTGTGTATGTCATGAATCACGAGAAGAATTATGTACTCTGTTGGCTACAACACAACATTGACATACGAACTTGGAAAGCAAGAAATAAAAATATTTGATATACTTAATTTTGGTATTACTTACTGTTGAAACAGGACACTTTCGGAGACCCTGTGGAAATACATATAGTAATTACTAAATAAACTTATAAAATTTCTATAACCCGAGCGCTTTCAGAAGGTAAAACTTTCGAAACAACTCGGGTTATAGAGATTTTATATTACGACTTATTGAAACTATGTGTTTTTCTGGCATTAGTAATTGCTATATATGTGTGTGTGTTTATAATAAACACAAGTATCCTTCATTTACGTGGCCTGTGAATCGAAAGGTCAAAGGTTCGAGACCTGATGCTGCTAAACATGCTCCGCAGATTCAGCTGTGGGCGCGTTATAAAAGTAACAGACAGTCCAGTTATTTGTTTCAAAGAGCCTGATAAAGCTCTTGTGGCAGAGGGTTTCTTACTCAGTAGTACAAAGCTAAGGACTGTTCTGCATGAACCCTAGAGGTCTCTGAAATGACCATTTGGCTAATATATGATATAAGTACTGAGCCATGAACAGTTTTTATAAGCTCTAAAGAAACTTTAAAATCTCTTTGTCCAACCTTCTTAATACAAGAAGCAACAAGTGATAATCCCGTATACTACTGTGTAGCAGTGTCACCATCAGAATGTCAGTGTAACTTTTTCTATATTGGTGTCACATTTTAAAAGGACTTGTGAATAATCCTTCAATTCTTAATTTTTTTCGTAACAAAAATATTTTTGCCTCATTGATTATAGTTATTCTCTGTGTGTTTTAAGTCGGCCTAGTTTTTAGCATATCGAGCTGCGGATCGAAAGGTCCAAGGCTCGAGCCGCAATGTACCACTGAACACTTTCAGCATTATATTTGTGACAATCAAATCTGCT